GCAACTTTGAAGCAAGTTTAAACAAAAGTTCCGAGAGATATCTGGATGAAAAATTTAATGCTTTTTTTGCGGTACTCACTTTTCTAAGTTTTTTCACTAAATTTACAAAAAATACAAATACGGTTGAATCATTGCAAGAGCAAGCATTAAAAATTTTAGTTCTCTTGAATCAGCAAAAAGTAGCTTTGAAGAAACTCATCGACTTAAATTACAATTCAATTGTTATGCGTAAGTTTGCAGCTCGGCTGACGAAATTTTGCAACAAGCAAAAGACGTATAAGAAAGTTTTATCAGAATACGCTATTGAAGAAGAAGGCGAAGGTTACGTTGATTCTCAAAACGAATTGTGCGAGCTTTCTTCCGAGGAAGATGATACCGAAATAGACAAAGAGAATGATAAATTAATGGTTGAGAAAGACCTGAGCTCCAGTAACATCCTGGATTTAGACACTATTGACGAGTGTGCAAACTTTAATAGTCTAGGCAGATCAGTCGGGCTGAGAAACGAAATAAACAATTACATAATAAGTTTTTTTAAGTTATAATATGTTGTATAAAAATCATTATGACTGGTAGATTCTTTTTTAGTTTAAAAAGATGATTACTTTTCAGAAAATCAAAGAAAAGAAGAAATCGAAAATTTTTTCTCGATTAGATTAAAACTTCTACTTGTTCATATTATACATAGGTGGAGGTGATGGTGGATATATTGGTTTGTTCATTCTAGCATCGGTTGAGCCAGGAACATTTCTATTACCTCCGAGTTCTGCAGGATGCCTCAATTTGGGGTCATTAATTTGAAGCAGTGGATCGTATGGATGGTTCTTCGCGTCTGGCGGGGCGTTAATATTAGAATTAATTTGAGTGTTATTGGGTTCGTTTATTTTATATAAAGGGGGTGGAGGAGGAACTGGACTGCGTTTGCCACCGTTATGTACTGGTGCTGGCGGATGATACGGAGAGAAAGCAGGATTTGCTATATGTTTATGCTCGTAAAAGTTATTTGACGGCATGCTGTTGTCGAAAGTTGAACCTGTCGGTTTACTCGAATAAGGAGGCGCAGCAGACATCATGTTAGCTTGTCCATTCGAATTAGTATTTTGTCGAATTGGTCTTTGTGGCGGAGGTGGTGGTGGAGACAAAATTTCACGACGAGCTGCGGGGTTAGTGTGTCTTGTATCGTAGCTGATAGCGCCTGGCGGCGAACAAGACGGAATGTTTGGTATATTTAGCATGTTTTGCGGTGGTACATTAGAAATGGATCGGCCATTGTAAACTCCGTTATTCATATTAACAGGTGGCGGAGGCATGTGAGGCGTTTTTGAATTAATGTTATTGTATGGGGCAGCTTGGCCAGGCACATAATAAGGCTTAACACCAGCACTTGGCGGAAAACTTTGATCAGGAGTTCGTGAAATCTGAGGTGGTGGAGGTGGAGGAATGCTTGCAGGGTTTTTTGCTGAGTAATTCGATGGGCGTGGAATAACGTGTTCAGTTGTGCTGTTGACAGAGGATGTTCCTTTATTAAGGTTTATTAACTTTCGAACAATAGAACGAATTATTGTCAAGAAGTTGCGAGTATCTTTGTTCCAACTCGAATCAATGACGACTTGTAACGAAGACAAAGCACTATCAATGTTTTGAGAATTGATACTCTTTAGTATATCTCTGATTAAATACTGAGACTTCTTTGTCAAGACTTCGTTTTGCAAACAATTACCAATTTCATTATCGAGTACATCAACGCCATGTATATTGTTCAGTTCAGGATTATTCTTTATTATATTGATGAGAGTTTTGATCTCGTGCTCTAATTCAGAAGAACAAGGATCTCCTGTTTTTTGTTTTAGTTTGTTTATGTCTGCATATACACTGCCTACAGCATTATTTTTCGAAAGATTTGACTGCGTCTCTGTTGGAATTGGCCAAGGGTGCGGTAATTTTGGATTGGCTGAACCTAAAGATGCTGCGGGGTGAGTAGATTCCCGCCAATATGATAGATCATTTACTGGAGGAGCGACGCTTGATGCCTGAGCTAGATTTGCAGATTGCGATTTTTGATATTCTTGATAAGTGTTGTATGGATATTCTGGAGGAAGAAGACCTGAAGTTGTAGGTGGTTTGCATTGATCAGCAGCAGGCGAATAAGGATTTTGATAATTACTTTCAGCGTTATTATAATCGGGTCGTTGATATACACTCGTGGTGCCTTGTTTAAATGGCTGATTATTGTAAGCGTATGGTTGATTTTTGGAGGTTTGACTGTACACACCGGGTTGTTTTAAATAGGAAGGAAGTTGTTGCTGGGAATTTGTATCTACTTGCTTCGAATGAGCAGCAATTCGAGAGTCATTATTTGTTTCTAACGATTCATAAGACGTTGCAGGATACACGTTGAATTCTGCTTTTAATAATTTGTAGTTCTTGTTCATAGAAGATTCAAGTTTATTGGTAAATTCACAGTTCGAAGAATTGTGGTTAATGGAGTTTAAGATTTTTAGAGCTTCAGAAACGTACCCATGATTTACAAGTTTCATACAAAATTCTTTGATACAACTATGAAGTAGATTAGTCTTTATCAGTTTGTTAAAGATAAAGTGGATAATGAAGTAGAGAAGTGGAACTTCATTGTCTCCTGGAGTGTATATGCTCGAAAGATGAAGTAATATCTTTTCAACATTCAAGCCAACAAAATAACAAACGAAAGCTTCAGCTTTATTATTATTTTCAACGAGTTTATCTCCAAGTTCTTCACAAGCTAAGGAGAATTTGCTGTACGGGGTGTAAAATTCATTGGGATTAATGGTCTTCTGTCGAGATATTAATGTAGCTAATGTCTCTTTCCAAGATTGAAAACTAGAGTTTTGAACTATACTTGTAAAATCTTCACTATCAATATAATCAATGGCGATAGGTCTGCCGTCCCCCAGGAATTTACGATATTTTGTAAATACGTGATCGATTAATTTCTGATCTTTCGTAAGACTGCTTAAATATAAAGCCATTGCGTAGTTTTTTGTGGCAAGTGAAATTTCAATTGCTGAGACGTAATCGCCCATAATAATCAAACGAGATATTATCGACAAAGGCTCGGTTTTCCAATTATTAGATAATACACTTTCTTCAGACAAACCAGATTCGATTGAATTATAAGATGGATCAATATCTTTGTTATTGCACGTCTCGAGTTCATCAAAAAAATTCTTTTCGTTGTTAGCTATCAGGCAATTGATTTCTGAAGAAGGTAGATTTTCCCTGCTAAAACCTAGTTCTTGTTGGTAGGACTTCGAATTCAGATAATGCTGTGCCTGAATTTCGATGGCCGAATGATCAAATCCTAAGTGTTCTAATATTTTATTGATATAGTTTTTATTATTGGGTATACGTAGTAAAAGCTGATACCAAATAATCGAATACAATGAATTGTTATTTACAGTGGCTTCGTTATATTTTTCTTTGCAGTAAGTTTCAAGAGAATTTCGTTCTATTGAAAGCAACACTTGTTGAGTCTCAAGGACTGTAGCGCAAGATTCCACTTTATCATGATGGCGTCTGAGCACTATTCTTCCGTTTGTGTTGGAAAAAGTAAGGAATTGGTTAGAAAATTCTTTTATAATAAGATTCTTGCCTGTCACCCAGCTTGGCTGGATTAAATGCATTTTTTCTAAAACAAATTTTTGTAAATTGAAAAAATACGTTGTTTCATCAGAAAGAATTGAAATAAAATCGTTTGTTCGAGTCCAAGAAGTATGTGTGAGAGTAGTGCCTAATGATAGTTCAGCATATAAGACGAACTTGTAAGTATAATAAAAGTATAACTGGATTTTGCCGTTTTCCGTTGAACATAACATAAATCTCTTATTATTGTGAGCCCATTGCATGTAGTTCACAGGACTATTTTCACTGATCTGTATCTCTTTTTGAGGTAGTCGTTTTTTCAAATCCCAGACATGTAAGATACCCTGATTCGATTTATAACTTGTTAGCAAAGTGTTTGTCCCATCAATCCAAGTAATGCGATTAACTTCATTTTTGCATATGTTATCGCCAATTTCAATGAGAATTTTTTTACTATTAACATTGATTATTCGAATGCCTCCGACACCTCCTACAGCTAAAATATCACAATTAGACTCCTGTAAATGCCAGCTTAAAGTCGTAACTGAAGATAACCCCGTGTTAATCCACGTGTTACCAGAGTCATATTCAAGTATCTCTGATTTATCTTCGTCAAGTTGATCAATAGAATTTACACAGATGCTTCCGTTATTAAATCCAATTACGATTTTGTCTGAATTTACTTCATCAAATTGAACAGCGGTAATGATTTTTGTTGGAAAGCTAAATTTTCCCAGGAGTCCATGCTCTCGTTCGCAAGTAACTCCGTTATCGGGTATAGTTATATTTTGATTCTTTGAAAATTGTTCAAAAAAACTCGACAAGATCGTAAACGCATCAAACAAATAAACTTCTGTTTTTGTTTGACATATTATAGAACCAATTGAAAAAAGTTTAGTTCCGTAAGGTATCTCCCAAAAACAATCTTTGACCTCGTCATCAAAATTAATGCATATTAAGTTCTGATAGCGCCAACATCCTGTATTATTTTTTATCGCATTTTTATCAACACATCTACGACCGACACGTATGCTTTTATCCTTAAATGTTACACCGAACAAATCAGCTGGGATACTATTAGCAACTTGAAAGTCAATATCAAAAATAGGACACCATTTAATGGGCTGGTTTATTGGGATTTTTTCTACAAATGCGCAATTCATTACAGTTACATTGAATTATTATTTTTTTTTTCTAGTAAACTTAGATTAACTATTATATTACGCGGGATTTATCGCAATTTAAGAAATTTAAGTTACACAAAATTGAACGGAAAAATCATTTATTTAAATAATGTTGTGTGTTACCTAATAATAGTTTAGTTGGGGACGAGTGTTAAATGTGAAACGAAAAATATTTGTTGAACTAAGCTACTCGTTTAATTAAATAAATTCATATTTGCCTGGCCACTGTTCAACTTCACTGAATATTCGTTTGACGAAGTCAACAACTTCTGAAATCGGTATTCTAATTTGTTTAAGCAAGCTTGTATGCCTGAGAGTGACGCTGTTGTCTTCAAGTGTCTCGAAATCTACGGTTATTGTATATGGTATACCAATCTCGTCTGCTCTGCTATATCTTCGACCAATACTTGCATTGCTGTTGTCGACTTTTGAAAATATTCCTGCTTTCGCTAATCGCATTTTCAACTTGCTAGTTATTGAAACAAGTTCTTCTTTGTTTATAAGCGCCATTAATATACATTTGTAAGGAGCAACGAGTATTGGAAAGTCGAAGTAATACCTGTCATCTTCGCGTTTTTTCAATGTGTGTTCGAGCAGACAATGCATTATTCTTCCTAATCCAAAGGACGGTTCTACTATTTTTGGAAAAAATAGCTCGTCTGTGAGTCTAACGACTTCTGTTGTAAACGATAGCATGTCTTTATTTAGTTCAACAACATCTTGGTTGGGTAACGTTAAGGAAAGTCTTTCGTTTTTGTCGTATAACGTTTTCAATTCATTAATGGTTTTGGTATCGAGCAACGTTTCAATAATAACGGGAGTCAATGCCTTGTACTGTTTTGCAATTTCTCGTTTTACGGGAATACATTTAAGCACTTCTTGCTCTCTTGGTTTTTTCAACACTCTCAAGGCGGTCAAATCTCTATTAGTGTGGCTAGAATGCTGTTTCAAATCGAAATCTCCTCTATTTGCTATTCCGACTGCTTCAATCCAACCGCTCGAAGTCAAAATTTCTGCGTCCCAACAGTCGTTTGCATAATGCGCCATTTCAGTTGACATGTGTTGTCTCCAACGAATACATTCGTTGATTATACCAATTTTTAGTAAAAAAGTTTGTGTTTTTGCCATGTAGTATGCGATCAAAGAGTTTTTAATGATGCCGCTCTTTAAGGCTTCAGATACAGATGAAGAAACAGATTGATCACTTGTTTTTTGCCTGTCAGCGCTCAGCAGCTTAATTGCAGGAGCGGATTCTATGTATTCTTTTTGAATTGGAGACAACAACTCGCTTGCTTCAGGGTCGTAAAAATATTCGATCTCAGCCAAGACAAATTCTCGAACTCGCAACAACCCATTTCTTGGCGAAATTTCGTTACGAAAAGCAGTTCCAATTTGAGCAACTCCGAAAGGCAATTGACCTCGGTTGCATTCAAGTAGTCTTTTGAAGTTACACAATATTCCCTGTGCGGTTTCAGGCCGTAAGTAAGCTGTGTTATTTGAGTCAACTGACAAAGGACCCAAATTCGTTTTGAACATCAAATTAAAAGGCATGGCGTTTGAAAAGTCGTTTCCGTCCGGTGATTTGAGCTTGTATTTTTTGATTAGTTCGTCAAATTCAGCGACTTTAAATCCAGAAAGCTTTCGTATATCTTCCTGAACTGACTCAGTCATTGGCTTAATTTTGTGGAGCAACTCTTCAAGTATTTTATCTGCGCGGTAATAGTTCTTGGTAACTGTGTCGTACAAAATGAAATCCTCAAAACGGTCAACATGTCCGCTGGCTACGAGTGGCGCACAAGGTGTTAGATTGGTACAGTGGACTTCTAAAAGATCATCCTCCTTGACAAAAATATTTTTCCAAACGGTTTCAATCTCAGATTTCAATGCAGAACCTGTAGGCCCAAAATCAAACAAACCGGTGGTGTTACCATATATTTCATAGGCAGGAGCTAAGATGAATCTCCTTTTGACGATGTTTTCCAGAATCCCTTTCTGACTGCAAAACTGTGATTGCATACCACTATTTTGACAGTCTGAACTTTTATTTACAGTTACTTGCATATTAAAGAAATTCCGACAAATTTCGCTTTTGAGTAAGTTACGTATAAATATTTTAATTTTATCGAATAAAAGATAATTTTATCCTGAGCGTTCTTGTCACTAAGAAAGTTTAAATTTTTAAACGTTGATTGATGAGTTCAGTTTTAGATGATCAAGTCAAAAAAAAAGAGTTAGACATTGCTATCACAATAGAGCTCGCAGAACTTGAGATTCTTAGATGGGAAATTGTGAACGACACTGAAAAAATCAATTCTCTCAAAATGAATTTAAAATCGATTCATGCAGAGTTTAACGACGTATTAGCAGAGATCAAGTCTCATTTGATTGAAGAAAACAATAAAAATTTATTGTCAGCTGATGAATTAGTTTCAGACAGCGCATACAACCCGGCCTGTCTGGAAACAATTAAAAATTTATCATTACCAAATTCTGCTGATACTAACTCCTTTTCTATAACGGATTGTTGTAAAAATCCAAACTTCTCCGACGACTTCAACACTCCCAGAATAGTTGAATCAGAAAATCAATCAATAGAAAATGTTCGAGTTAGCAATATTAAATTTAACAAAGCGAAAAACGAATTAGACGCAAGGAATAGCGAGAACTGTTTGAATCCAAACGATAACCTAAATTTTAAGTTACAACAGTTAAATACAGCCTTTGAAAACCGAGATTACCGACAAGTTTTAGTCAGTCTCAGCTCGATTGAAAAATTGACGTGCAACAAAGGCGGCAGTTTCATGGCTCACAATTTTGATGAATCTGTCAAAAAAAAACTAGTTTGCTCATACCAAACAAAAGAAGCGTATTTCAAAGAAGAAATAAAAAACAGAGTTTTAAATTGTAAGACAAAAAAGTTCGACAAAGAAGTGGAAATAATTTGCGCTTGTGCTGATTTGATATCCAACAATACTCGAGACGAATTTGCGTGTGAAATCGCCGATCAAACGGTAAATTCGTTGGTTAAATCAATGTGGATGAACAGCAGCGTAGAAAACGTAGAAGAATTGTCTGAAATCATACAATCGTTAAGCAACGAAATTTCCAAATATTTTGACGAAAAAAATGTTAGAGAAATTCTTTGTTCGGCGCCAACGGCTAACTGGGGTATGGCGTGCATAGAAAAGTCGCTTCAATACATAGTCGACACGGTTTCGCGCAAGGTTATTAATATCCTGCAGTTGATGGAGGTGAATACTAGTTATGAGGACTGGTCAGACTTGTTTTTGAGTTTGAACATTTTTGACAAGAACATTTCTAAAATAATGCACAGACTAAGCATCAGTACGAAAGATATTTTAGTGTTGAGTTGGTACATGAAATCGTACTGCAAACCATGGAAAACGCATTTTAATGAGCAATTCAAACAATTGCTGAATCTTGAGAAGTCGTTCTTCGAAGATGACACTGTCGAACGCAAGTTTATGTTGGAGACGATCAGCGTTTACGAAAGCGCGAACCAGTTTTGCTCTATTGTAGAGGCGTTAAATAAAAGTGTGCTAGAGTACTACAGTGCAGAATTTGTTTCAGAAGCGAGAAATTTGATGGAAACTCACGTTACAATTTTTATAGAAAAAAAAGTGAAGCCCCTATTGGAGTTATTAGACGGAAGCATTCTGACAAGTGATAAATTTATAGCGATTGCACAAACATTAGCACCGCAAAATTATATATTACTGCAGCCATTCATAAATACGTGCAACGTAGAATCCACAGATCGATTTAAGTCGGTACGCTTGCTTTGTCTATTGCTGTCGTCACTAGAGTTCCTAGAATTTCGCACGAAAAGCGATAAGCTTTTCAGCTACAAACTGTTGTTTTTTACATATTTAATTTACAAAGTTCAAGTTGGCAGTGCCAAAATATGGGAACTAGACAGCATGACTGATGACAAAAAAAAATTGTTTTTTAGCCAAGCATCGATCGAATACATAAAAAAATATTTCGTCGAAGATGGTTCACAAGAAATGTGTATAACCAATCGTTAACATTTTTTAGGATTTACACACTTTTTCACGCCATGTTTAATGCGACTGTTTTAGATGCCGTAGTGCGTTTTTTTCGTTCGACTTTCCGAAGCACCAAGGTCAATAAAATACAGTGCTAGCAAAAAAAACACTATATCAATCGAGATAACACATATGTAAATAGGTGCGCTATAAAAGTTGAATAATAATAAATCGTAGATAAATTGTTAAAAGTATTTAATTCTAATATATAAATAGATATATTAGTTTTCAGCGACCAGTAAATTAGTAAATGAATATTATTAACTATACATGACGAATTCAAAAACAAAAAACAAAATGTTTAAGCAACAAAAGGCTTTAAGCGGTCAAAAACAAAAATTTCCAAAAAAATCTGCCAATAATACAAATAATAATAAAAAAAATAATGTAAACAACGATCCGAGAACATTTGCGTCAGCATTGAAGGAAACATCGAACCCTGAGTTTCCGATCAACTCCAGTGAAAACTATTTTGATAACTACTTGAAAAACGTGCAAAGCGAGTCAAAAGAGTTAATACACGAGATGCAAATCACAAATGTTTCAACTGAATCCAACGGTCCTCCAATTGAACGATATACAAAGTTTGAACAGCCTTTGCTGCCTATTTTATTGAGTTCAACCGTAAAAGAGCTGTTTAGAAACAATAAAACTTTGATTCAGTCAATATCTGAGTATTATAGTAAGATATTTGCCCCTTATGCAGAGTTGCACGATTTTGTAATTTCGCTGCGTCACCAAAATAACTTGTTCCAGACCCAGCCTAAGCTTAATGACGACGAGATTGATGCAGCGATTCATGAAAATAACTCTAGTAGAGCAGATTGCGACAAAAATGCTGATGAAAGAATGTTTAACTATTTGTTTCTTTTGGAGGAGCTGGACTGGAAACAGAAAACAATTCCTTTCCACAGCTTGATGCATTTAAAAGTAAATAAAAAATATGACAATGTACAGAGTCGTGTGCAAGCTAACCGGTACAACGACTTTAACGGCATTCAACAATTAATTTTCGAAAATAACGTAAAAATTAATGAACTAGGAAACTATTCGTTTTTGTAAACGAATGGGATGGTTTATAAGATCGGCACGAGCTCTTGCTAAACAAAAATTACTTTCGTGAGAAACAGAATGACGTTAGCGAACTAGTCCAGTTGGGAAGGCTTGTGAATTAATTCTAAGGAATTTACATGTCCATAGATTCGCTTTCCACTCTTTGAATGTCGTCGCAAAACTTTCTAAGGGTTGTTTCTTTGAACGAGTAAAGCGCCTTGACTATCTTTTGAATGTCTTCAATGTTGTTCGTGTCGGTTTCACCGTACTGGCATGTAACTAATTCGTTCATCTGGTCGATTCGCCCGACGATGATGTTTTTGTAAATAGCTAGAGCGATTATGTTTTCTACGTAGTCGATTTTTATGTCGAGAGCGGCTGCGAATTTTTCAAATGGTATGGTAACTTCTGACCAGACTCCGTTGTTGTTTAGTGCTTCAGTAGCTATTGTTGAACTGACAAACTTCCCGCTTTTCAGCAGAAGCTCTTGAGTAATATCGAATGTTTCACTCATGAAGTTCTAGCGTCCTTGATTTAGGAAATCCAACTTTAAATATAGATAATTAAAAAAAAATAAGCCGGCGGCAAATAAAAAAAATTGGTTTTAAATAAATGAACGCCGTTGTCTGACAAATTTGCTATGTAAGCGGTCGGCGACTTGTGCCAGCGTACAAGTATAAATTTATTGTTTATTTTATACATTTTATTGTGATTTACATAAACAAAAGTTACGTGTTCCACTAATTGCTTAATTATGAAAAGTCTGACTATTTCTTTATAAGGGCCAAAGAAATGTGTTGTTCAGCTGTTTTTAAATGTTTTGAGGGTCGACGCGGGTGAATTCGTTGACTTCTTTTTCGAGCTCGTTGCAAAGTTCGCTCTCGTGGTAAAGAGGGGAGACGGAGTTAACTTCTTCTTCAAACGCAATGGCCCAAACAAGAGCCGAAAGAATTGAACCGATGTAGATGATGAAATGTATTTGTGGGACAGGGAGCAGCAGACTGACAATGTCGGTAAAACCGCAAATTGTAAATAGGAACAAGTTGAGAGGCGCGTGCCAATCGTTGGTACCGGTATCATGGTAGACTTCGAGCAAAAACAAAGCGCATCCCATAAGTATGAGTGAAAATCCTTGAACAACGCGCGAACTACCGAAAAACAGCCAGTCAATGCTTCCCGTGATAAAATAGTGCCAGTAGTTATCGGTGTAGTTGGTACAAAAGTTGCAAGCCCAAGCTAAGTACATAGCTGAGCTTGAAATATCGAGAAAAGAAGCGTAAGATAAAAGCTTGCTGCCTGCGCGGTATCCTCGCGACCAAGCTGCGTCATCAGCTAGTGAATACTGGAAAAATCCAATGAATATTGCCCCTAAAAAGTACAAAGCAGAAGCAAATGTCACAATCGATCTGAACCTGGACGTTCCGCGCATTTCTGCGTCCGTATTGCTCAAGTCCCAAGTAAATATGCCTTTACCACCGTATGCTACGTGATTTAACAAAAAGATAATAAGAGATAAAAATTTCATTAGCAATCCAGATCGTAGGTACGCTTGGCTGCATCGTTCAATCAGATCGCTCGTGCGTTTGTTCAAGTATTGATGCCTTTTTCCTTTGACCGGATCATCGAATCCTTCGTGACGAGTAGCTATCCACATGATAGATTATCAAATAATATATGATGCACCTTTTGCAATGTAAGTTTACACAATGGTGCGACGCCTAGGTTAGCCGAAAATATGTACTTGGCTGTATTTAATTAAACAGTTCTTTTGGGTCGAGACTTGCGTTGCAAATTGTGGACAAGTTTTTGACTACGCTCCAAATCGAATCTAAAAAATTAATAAAAGTTCCGTAAATACCATAGGGCATTTCGCCTGAAAGATTTTTTTTTGTTAACTTACACGTATATGGAAAATTTGATAAAGCACAAATGTGAACCGGGCCTACGAAAACACAGGCACACATTACCATCATCACGATAGAGAGGACATTGGTGATGGAGGACATCGTCTGGTAAATCTGAAAAGTGGAATTTCTCACATTCGAACACATGGACATACGCGCTGCCAACGCATCACATTCTGATTGATCGGCTAACGACGTTTTTTTTTCATCAGAATTTTTTTCGATAAACTCTTCTGCCTCCAGAATTCGCGGTTTCGCTTGTGACATAATCTGGTCCAAATGTTTGCGAACGACTTCGCTTAAACTAGTTAAAAACGCTTCTTCCTCGAGTCTCAGTGACGCCTCCATGACTGGTCCGCGACACATCTTGTTCCAAAGCCTTACTTCTAAGCTGTTTTTGCCGTAGTCGTTTTCTAAGGAACTTTTAATCTCTTCGTAAACTAATTAGTTTATTTTCAAGACTACTTACAGTGCAATTTGTCTATTTTCTGACTAATTGCTGATAAAAATAGGAAAACCCAACAGATCATTTTATAATTAGATGTTATTAGAGTTTCTTCGCGAATTTATAAAAAACTTATGAATATATAATTAAACTAAGACTAATAATAATTAGAAACACTATCATGGTTGTGAGTTATTGGCTGTGCTATTCTTTTTACATAAAGAATTGAACACTTGATCAAGAGTGGGTTGAGATATAGAATATTCATTAATTAACAATTTTGACTTTTCTTTTTCCAACAGTTCAAATAAATATGGCAACATCTGATTTATTGGGGGAAACAAATACAATAATTTGATTCCGACGTGGTTGCTCAAATAGCACTTCGAGTTACACTTTTCCTTTAAGAATTTTGTAATTTTGTCAATGACCATGTGAAGATCGGAAGAACTTTTTATCTTGTCTTTCAATAAATCGATTTCCAGGCGGAAGCCCGAACCGTATTTATTTTTAATTGCTAAACACGTATTGTAGCATTGAAGTTCTCCGTTCATCATGATTCCTACTTTGGAACACAAGTTTTCTGCTTCTTCCATGCTATGTGTAGTTAAAATCATAGTGGCGTTGTGTTTTCTCTCGTGAATTAGTTCCATTAGTTTACGTCTACCAATTGGGTCAATTCCTGATGAAGGTTCGTCAATAAGTACGCAGCGAGGCGTAGTTAAGAAAGTAAGCACGACAGATGCTCTTTTTCTATTTCCACCCGACAAAGCATTGAGCCGCTTGTTTTTATGTGCTTGTAATTCTAAACGAGTGATTAAAGCGTCAGAAGCGGCCAACGTTTGCTGATTGCTCAAACCTTTAATTTTCGCGAAAACATAAATATTATCTAACGTAGTAATATCTGTCCATAAAACATCAAATTGAGGCAAAAGACCCAAGTAAGGGAAAACTCGTTTAGGATTTTCCATTAGGTTGATACCGCCTATGTATGTTTCTCCGCGTGGAGGAGCATCCAAGAAAGGATCGTATGAAAGAACGTTTATTGTAGTTGTTTTTCCTGCCCCGTTAGGACCGAGCAGACCGAATACTTGACCTTTTTGAAGTCCTAAACTCAAACCATTAATAGCAATCAATCCATTTGCCACCGATTCTGAGTGAGTATTGTAGATGTAGTGTAAATTAGAGATTAAAATGTCTGGTAGCACCTGCGGGGGTGAACCATTTAAATTGTTAAAGACTAAAGGAATTGGAAGATTTTTTTCTTTAGCCGCGCACTGAGCTTTATAAACGGTTACAATGTCTTCTACGCGATTTTCTTCATTGATCACATCGTCGTCTTTGTTACATTGAAACTGAACAGGGAATAACTTTTCCGGTATACCAAGCTCTAAAGCCGTTGTCCTGAACATCTCGCGTTCTTGCTTAAATTTGTCTAAAAATTCTATTGTTTTGATGTCTGGTGCTTTCGATTTATATGAAAGTGCTTCAAAGTAAAGTATTAACAAAAAATAAACGATCAATGATACAATAGACCCAATATATACCCATAAAAACATGTTCTTTGGATAGAATAGATCTGCCACACTTAGGCTGCGATTGTCTGATTCAGCTTGCAAAACTAGTAATGTCAAACATAATACCGAGGCCAAAGGTAAGTAGGTGGCGAATAATAGACACATTATGGGATGTACCCATCTAGAAACAGTCGCAAACGATATATTGAAAGCTATGTCCTGAAAGTCAAAGCTTACGCACACCAAATATAGCGGTGAAATAGCAAAAATAATTGAAGAAATCTGAATATAGAGCTGGTAAATATTGCTATTATTAAACCAGAAAGTGAATTGGTAAGCTCTAGCGAGCCCTGCTAAGTTGGACAATATTTGTACAACAGCTAAGTACGGTATAGTAAACAGATTATTCGACATTTCTGGTATAAATATAAAACACATTAGAATAATCCCTATAGAGGTAAGACTCATTAATATTGACTGGACGAATAAGGTAGCAAGCCAATAAATCCAGGCAGGACAACCTGCAATGTATATAGTGTGCTTTAGTTTACTTTGTTTTTCTTCAATCATTTTAAGCCCGAAGCTGATCGGTATTGAAGTTGATGTTATGGCAAACATCGTTGATAAAATGACAGCGTAAGTAGTGATAAAAATCTTAGTCTTCATTTTAGACTCAATTATGTTAACTTTGTTTTTAATTTTTCTCTCTTCAGATTTGTTGAAGTATTGATTATTGTAAATTGCTTCATAGAGTCCATTTAGGAAAACAGGAAACGCATGCAAATAGTAAGGATTAAACAAGAAATGAAGATCTATCAAGTCTGGATATATGTTGGTGTCCGTCCATACTGAGTCCATAGTGAGCTTAGATGTAGATGCAGAGAAAATAAGCGCACAAGGGTATTTGTTGACTGTTACACCAGCTTTATTGGCGTATGTTGTGTTGTATATAAAGTTTCTCAAAAGATAACCGTTTGGACTTTGTTTCTCAACAGGAGGATCCGTAAAGATATAAGGGTAATCTTCAAAGCCTATTGACATTCCTGCTTGAAATTTTTTTGGATAAAAAACAGGAGTAGAGATTAATTTATCCCTGTTAGCTGGAAAAGGAGGAAAATCTATCATGTAGTGAGAATTATATGTTTCGGCTAAATACCGTTGAAGTATTCTATCAAGTTGTTTTACGAATGCTTGATCATTTAAAACACGAAGGTTGCTGGGAGAAAACGTGTCAAATAACGGCATCAGCTTATTTTTAAATGGAAGATCATCTAAAACATTTGCCAATCTTTTTCGAGCATCAAAAGACAAATAGGGATCTACAGAGTAAACAATGACACCGTCTAAATATTTATCGTAATTAGTGATGTCAATGTGTTTAGTAGGTTTACTGAACAGACTGCTAAACCTTTGATTTTCTTTCGTTGATGTGTTACTTATAAATCCTATAAATAGGAAAAATAATGGCAAGAACAAAGATAAAAAAGTTCTTAATTTGTTTCTTTTGAATTGAGCGAACCTTAAGTAAAATATCCCTTGTAATTGAGGAATAGTATTTGCAAGATCTACAATGGGGTAAATGTTTTGTGTTAAGTCTCCTGCTTCACAATTATTGTAATTATTCAACCCTAACTGAAGATTTTTATTTTCGTCATCGGTAGATGGAACAAGCGCGGAAGATGTCATACTACTTTTAAAGACTTCTGTTTTATCGTTTTCAACTTGATCTATTTCATTAATATACATATCATTTAACTTAAAGAAAATTTCTTCCAAAGTAGATAAAGAAAGTGCATATTCGTAAATAAAAAGATTTCCTTTGTTTTGGTTTAAATAATAAAGTAGCTGAGAAAAAACGGGAACATATTTGTTTGGAATCGAATAAGTAAGAACACCAGCAGCAATCGAACTAGCTACCCAAGTTCCAGCATTTTTTATACTAACTAGCAACTCTGCTTCAGGAATGTATGACTTCAGAAGCGATGTAATATTCTGAGTGACTTCATTTCTTTGACGTTGAGTAAGGTTAGAAACTAGTTGCACTTCAAGATAGTAACAAGCGTTAAATTTTTGTTTTAGAAATAAGTTTGATCCTATACAACGAACTTTGCCATCAAACATGACAGCTTTGCGATCAGCTAGCCATTCAGCTTCTTCAATATGATGTGTTGTAATTACAATACATCGTCCAGATTTTCTTTCTTCCTGAATAACTCTCCAAATTTCTTGTCGCCCAACAGGATCGACTCCAGATGTTGGCTCATCTAAAAAGACAACACTAGGTTCAGCTATTAAAGCAAACGCAAGCCACAAACGTCGTTTTTGCCCTCCAGATAACATATGCGGAAAAAAAAATAATTTATCGAAAAGAGAAAATCGGTCTACTATTTCTAATATTCCTTCCCACGTAGTAGAATCGCTGTGATTGTCCTTGTAGTTACCCGAAGCTTTTTGTTTCTGTTTAATTGCGTATCGTTGGTAAATTTCAACCTGATAAGATTGCAAATTTTGCAATTTAACCAAAACTTCGTGAACCTGAACGCCTCTAAAGCTACTTAGTAAGGCTAAATGTTCTATAACTAACAAATCATCAATAAACAAATTATTTTGAGGACAGATTGAAATTTTTTGTCGAACTTGTTCCGCTTCATGAATTAAACTATGGCCAGCAATCAGAGCGTTACCTGAATCAACGGTTAAAAATCCCGTCAGCATGCCTATTGTAGTACTTTTTCCAGCTCCATTGTGACCAAGTAAAGCAAAAATTTCAGAATAATAAACATCTAAATTCAAGTTATCGACAACTTTTCTAGGTTCACCGTCTGTAATAAACGACTTGTTAAAATTTCGAATTGAAATAGCTTTACGTTTAGATTTAACAATCGGATCTACTTGCTCGTTATATTCTCCAGTTAAACAACTATCATCTTCAAATGCACTATATGAAGACTGAGTTAGAGGTTGTCTTTCTTCAGTTTGTGGTTTGAAATATATTTGGTAAAGCTTTATGAAAGGCCATAGGTAATGTTTTTTAGGCCCAAACAAATCAGTTTTAATAAGAGTAATGTAATAAGCTAAGCCCCAGTATAGAAAAGCTGACAGCATCAAGCACATAAACTGTATTCTAAGTTCAAAGTTTTCTTGCGAAAAAAGTGATACAACTGTGATAGGGTTCAGGGGCAGATTCGAAAAGATATTCATGATAATTAGTACAAAACTAATAGGACTAAACATATAAAAGAAAATTCTTATTGGTAAGCTAAACATAAGAACATTGGTAAATAGTTTAGCAGAAAATTGCCAAAACATGTTTAGTCCTAGCGAAAGACATTGTGCTGTATCTTTTGATGAACATAATGATGCTAAAAGATATCCAAATGATATCAGCGATAAGAAGTAGAAGTAAAACAATGAAGAAGTAATTATTATACTTGTAGTTCCGAACATATAAAGCATTTGAGCGATTAGAACAACTGAAAAAGTTAAGATCACGTTTAACAAACTTCCGGTTATAAGAAGTGACGTCCAGTATTCAGGGCTTTTCATTCCAAATATGCAAAAGATACTAACAAGTTTTGTTGTTTTTTCATACATAATTTGATCTATACCGTAAGCTGTAAACCTGCTAAATGCGATCATTAAAAAAATAGGAGTAGTTTCCAAAAAATCATGAAAAGTACTATGAAGAACTGGATGAAGAGGGAGGGGTTCAACAACTATATTCATCTGTGGTGTTGATATAGATGATATAGTAGTATTTATAATGGGAAACAAATTTAAATCATGTTTCCTGTCATGCTCGTAAAGATATCTCAGAACTTTGTCAAAAGCAGCGTTAGGGTTTTGCTCCAAAAATTCAAGTACGTAATATTTAATATTGTTTGTAACTTCATCGTCAGAAAGGTTGTTGTATAAGAAGTTATAAATGTTAACTGAGGAATCATGCAGTTGTGACAATTCCATGTACTCCCTCTTTGGAGGAGTCAAGTCAGAAGGTTTAACATTAGCATCGAAAGGTATGTCTTGCAAACCAGGAGAAATCAATTCCATAAATTCAGACACGATAGCTGCATTGCGCGAAATAATATTAAGTAAACTTCTATTTGGATATCTGGAAGACACATTAGAATGGTTAATAACTTCGATAAGATGATTTTTTTTTGTTGGTTTAGTGAGTCTCATATTTTGTAGATCTGAAATAGATTTACTTGGGTTTTTTTTATAGGCTTCGTAAAATGACTTTGCTTTTAAGTGTACATTGTAACGTTCTTTTGCGTAATAGATTGCATTAGCAAGTGAAGTTTGCATTAAAATAAAATTCGATTTAATATATTTTCCTGCTTCGCAATAAGCCCCCATATTGAGATTTCTGAACTTGCTTTCAAATGGATTTGAGTCGAATTTCATGTATTCCCTGCAAGCATTTCGTCTTGACATGATATTATCTGTCCAAGGTAAGTCAGACTCCAAATAATGAAATTCAATATCTATTTCCGGATCATCCATATTTAACTTATTTACTTTGATACCATTTATGACACCGTCTGCTAAACGTATTGCTTCATTCATTTGAGCTGTGTCGCGCAAGATACTAATTAAAGAGTTTCCGTAGACAGGGTTAATTTCAGATTTGTAATACTTCAGCACGTAATCGAGCAAAGTTAAATCAACAGGTCCCTTACTACTATGAGTTGAATTAAAAGTAGTAGTATTCTCTTTGGTAAAATCAAAGGAATTATCGAGAGGAGGATTACTTATAGTTACGTAAATAACCTTATAAGTACTATGGTCAGGAGGCATGACCAAATTGATCGTAGGCTCATCTATGTATTGAGTGATCGCTGGGAACCAGTATTCCTTGGTTGCAAGAAAACGAGTATTTCCAATGATGAACCATGTAATCGTATGTGCAAATAACAGAATGAGATTAAACTTTCTTCTGTACGTTGATAAGTAATTTTTCCATAATAAAATTTTCAGATTTTCGAAATAATTATTGCGACGGCCTTTTAGTAAGCTATTATTACTAAAACCCATAATCTATCTAATTAAAAATCTATTAACTATTTCATTAAGGCGTAATAAAGTGAATAACTAAAAAAAATTATATTTTTAACTTAAATGCGCGACAAAACATAAATTCAGTTATGATGGAAGGATCTATTTGTTTGTTGTAATGTGTTTCATTGTTAGGCCAACGTTCAGATCAGTTTGCACTTAGCTAGTCTGAGATCGGTATTATGGGTAATGAAATTCTGAAAATATTTTGCAAATTTAAACATTTAATATCACAAATTAACAAATTTCTAGTTAAGTGGATTATTGAACAAGGGGAATTTTTCGTGCCTCTATGACCCGATAATTTTTTTATTAGCCTTAATAAAGCCATCATAGTGTAATACTTGATGTGAAAAGTCCAGTAATATTTTTTTTCAGAAGCTTTAAATCTTGGTTTAATTTCATAATCGTAAAGTGAAATGCACTCGTAAATCAAAATTGACGACGTAGAGTAATCTTCGAGCGTAGCACTAAATTCTATATTAGTTTCGTAATTTTTTAAATCGTCATTTTGAGTATAAGCTTCTTCGTTCAAGTATATTGAAAGTTCAATATTGTCTAAGTCGCAAGAATAAAAAGAGCGTAGCCACGTGAACACCAAAGAGTGTTCAAAAAAATTAATTGTTAAACACTGCGAAAACTCGATAGAATATTCAACGTTTTCACATTGTTTCGTAGTGAGTTCAATGCAGCGTAAACTGGTTCGAATCGTTGGGTTGGTGGTACCTGAGACAACTTGCGTTGAATACATGTGAACGATACTGTAGTCATCTTCAATTCGATCTATGCAAAATATTATGTCTGAACAAAATTTAAGGTGATAGCGAAAACAGTCTGCTAGCTTTTTTGTACATATCCATACCCCTATTTGTTTATCATTCATCAGTATTTCTTTTTCCGAAAAAGCAATCGAAGAAATAGGTATAGCCATTCCACCAAAGAACATTGAGTCTCTATAACTTACGACAGACGAGGCGTTTTTGCAACAAACAGTGCTAATAAATAGATATTGCCGTGTGAAAAGAAGTATAATTCCGTTTAACTCAGTATCCGTAGACGTAAATCTAGGTAAAATAGGCTTTAAATCTTCGAAACTTGACCGTAACGAAGTAACTACATGATTTAGTAAAATAATCGATGAATAATTGAGTTTTATCCTAACACATATCATTTTCACAACCTAACACGCTCATCAATATTTTGCATCTTAATTAACTACTTGAATTCGTGATCTAAACAATTCATAAATTTGACACAATTATACTGCAGTCGTTCAACCAACGAATATATTTAAAATAAATGATTTATTCTAATTATCAAAGTATTTCAGAAAAAAATATAAAATAATTTAATTTTATATAGTGGTTTATTTTTCAGAAATAAATCAATCTATTTACTGTAGCTCAGTGATGAACACTTAACTATTTAACATGATCAAATGAATTTAGTTTTCGTTTTTTCAACTTTAGTTTCTAGTATTAAATTGACTTCCATGTATAAAACTGCTTCAAACGTGATCAATAATATTGATACTATAAACAAAGAGCTGGATGAAAAAAAACTCGAAGTAAAACTTGGAGGTCAAGGGCTCGACCTTTTAAACGAAAGCATGGAAGAAATAAAAACTGTGTCTGAACGATTACAGAAGGAGGAACTAGAGCTGGCAAAGAAAGCTGAATTTGACATAGACACCAAACAAGGTTTAGAAACAGCGCAAAAATTATTTGAGAATCAACAAATAAATTATTCGATTAAAATAATACACATTCCCGAAATGCCAATATACGAGCCATTTGACTCGGCTCAGGTGAACTACGCGTTCAAACTTATTTCTACAAACGAATTTTTTCCACTTGATCCTGAAATAACAATAGAGTGGTTGCTTGACAATTCGTTTTATGCTTTTACTCAATATTTAGACTACATCTTACAAAAAGAAAACCGCGAAAGGATATTATTGTCAATACGTAAACAAGTTAACATAAAAATAGATAGCTTAAAAAGTTCGTATATTCAGTTAAAAAACGAGGTTAAAAAAAGATTAGAAATGCAGAGTAAAGCCGAAGCTCTACTACTTAAATTGCCCAATAGTTCGGCAAATAAAAAGTCTAGAGACGATATCAAATCAGATCAAACAAATTCAAAAACTGTTCCGGATGAAGAAATTTCTGAAAACACTAGTGTAGAAAAATTGAATAAATTAGCTACCCCTTCTCTACCAGAATTGGAAAAAGAAGAAAAAAATGCACAACGTTTAATACACCTCCAATTGACCATTTTAAAGTTAAACAAAATCGTTAAATATATCGACAATGCACTGAAATTATTAAGAGTTAGTAAAAACAAATCGATTTCGCATTTTGTTTCTGTTTCAAACATTGAAGCAGCTAAAAACAAATTAGCAGAGCAAAAAGAAAAAAAACAAAATACTGATCAAGAAAAGAATGATGTTGAAAAAAATAAAACGGACTGATATGACCAAAATCTCAGACAACCATGATTCGGACGATCAGTAAACGCACGTCGGTATCTAAAAGTAAGATGAATTAATTTATTTACTGTTATTATGTAAGTTTAATTATAGAAAGTTGATATTGTATCGAGTAATGTCTAGATACGGGTAAACCTCCTGTATATTGAGTTCTTTAAACAATAAAAATTGTAAGCCAAATAGCTCAAGTTCTTGCTCGTTAAATACATAGGCCAAACTAAATCTTGTAGATTTAGTAATAAGCCGTAAATATGGAACAACAATAGTGGCGACTAAAGCTATGGCTCTATTAGAAATTGCTTGATGCGAAACTAAATGTGTAAGATTTAACAACCTAGCTAAGAATTTATATAGCATTTGTGTTCGTTTTTTTAATATACAAAGTATTGCATATAAAGCGAGAATGTGTACGCCAGAATCCTCCCAGTGCGTATTAGTTTTTGGATTTTCAACTCCAGATACCAATGGGTTCAAACTGCCCAGTTCAAACTGCAAAAAATTTATGTATTCTGATATGAAACCTTTGTCTACAAGCCTATTTAAAATATGACCTAAAACCCAAAAAACTTCAAATGTACTGTATTCTAGTGTTTTTCCCCTAGAAACTGCTAAAACCACATGAACTAATTTGTCTACGATGAAGAACGTTTCAAGGTTAACATTGGGAATGTCTGCTGCTTTACAAAATTTAGTCAGCCTATCTGCGAATGAAGAAAGATTTAACTTGTGAGCTACCAACTCTAAATGACCGGTATGCACAAAGTTATACAGTATTTTAATTTCTCTAAAGATGCTATCGAACTTTATGGGTTTTTTATTCAGTATATCAACAAATAAGTTTTTTAGTCTGTTCTGACTATTAGTAATGACATCTAACTGCTTAGCTACTATGTAAAACCGACTATGTTTTTTGAAGTTGAGGTCCTTGATTATTGCTCTTAGTAATACAGTATTAATAAGTGTCGTTTTGGTTGCTTCACTTAAAACAATGGATTTGCGTTTAGTTGGTAATGCAGTTCTTGCGAAACATTGACAATATGATTCAGTGGGTTCGGTGTCATATGAATCGTCAAAATTTACATTAGTTTTTATAGACCTTCGTCTAGCTTGATGTGGTGATAGTAACGGTTTTCGCGGTGGCGATTGATGTTGGCATTTCAGCTCAGGCTGTGAGCCCAATAGTTGGTCTAGATAATCGGACTGGTTTTGCAAATGCTTGTGGTTGGATTCATCTTCTAGACGTGATACTTGTTGAGACATATGTTCATAATATGATTCCTGTTGAGCTTGTTGTCGGGGTTGAGATGGTAACTGAGATTCCTCTGTAGGTGTATAATCCGGTGGTGTTTGCTCATGGGATGGGATATCTGGTTGAGCTTGTTGCTGAAATTGAGATGGTAACTGGGATTCTCCTGTAGGTGTATGATTCGGTTGAGTTTGCTCTTGAGGTAGAATATCTGGTTGAGTTTGCTGTTGGAATTGAGATGGTGACGGAGATTCCCCTGTAGGTGTATAATCTGGTTGTGCTTGCTCATGAAGTTGGATATCAGATTGAGTTTGCTGCTGGAATTGTGATGGTAACTGGGATTCTTTTGTAGGTTTGTAATCCGGTTGTGTTTGCTCGTAAGATAGGAAATCTGGTTGAGCTTGTTGCTGATGAGAATAGTCAGCTTGAGATTGAGGGTGTTGTTGTGGTTGAAATTGCGATTGGTGGTGCGGCTGCTGTGGTGGTTGGAGTCCTAACTGTGCTTGCATATACTGCGCCGACAATTGCTTTGTTACAACAGAAGAGGAGTTTATATTTAGACCTAGTGTTAGATGGCTGGCATCCGGAGTCATAAAAGCGGGTTCTGTCATATTAACAGGATGATTTGAAGGGACGTTAAACACATCTCCAGGAAACATTTGACTAACAATATTCGATGTCTGACCTTGAGTGAAATCTTGTTGTTGATTCTGGTAAATCGGATTCATCCTTGTATTAAAATTTTCGTTATTCAAAGGAACTTGATTCATTAGTCCTAGGTCAAAGTTCTTTATAATATCTGAATAATTTTGTTGATACGTTGAATTAACACTTACGGTGTTATTGTTACGCGGGGAAGACGGTATAGCCCCAAAAAGAGCTTGAAGATTTTGTACAGCCTGATTTTGAGGAATATTATTAATGTCATTATTCGCATATTGTGGTGGAATCATAGGGTTTGTTATTTGGTTATGAGCGTTAGTAAAGTTATGCTGATTGTTTAAACGTTGTGGTTGATTCAAAAAGTTCATATTGTTCGGTACATTTTGATTCATTATTTGGTTTGTATAGTTTGGAACGTTGTTAGGAATTATTTGATTCATCGATTGATTTGGATAGTTCATTACATTGTTTTGAATTAAATTGTTTTGCGGTTGGGGTGAGTAGACCATAGCATTTGCAACAGGCTGATTCACCAGCTGAGGCGCTGGACTCTGCTTATTGTTCGGATTCATTATACTTTGTACAAACTCAGGAACATTCATGAGAGTTTCTTGAATTGCCTGATTTTGAGACTTAACACTATAAGGTTTCGGAGTTTCTGTAACGAGCTGAACTATGGGTACAGTGGGATAGCCACTAGTTAGATTTGAAAGCACTCGGTTCTGCAGATTATTACTATTATAATTTAAAATATTACACGAGTTTACCGGTTTGTACGCTTTATTACTCTGATTGGTAGAAGTAACTGTTGGTACTTGGTATTGTATTGCCTTGTTGTAATTAGAAGTGTTATCCGCGCTGTTTTGATTTTGCGATGGGTTACTGTAGTAAGGTGAGATATTTTGCATTGAATAACATGCAGGCATTGGTGGATTCGGATTACTAGTATAGTTATAAGTGGTCGAATTGTTTGAATTATCTGGTTTGTTGTTTAAAAATTTCAATTGTTCATCTAGAACGACTTGAAAATTCTTAATAAGGTCCTGTAACATCGGCGCAGTATTAAGATTGCCGGAACTCGATGAATTACCAGCCGTGTTCGGCGGGCTGATCGATGCATCAAGCCCAGAAGAATCTGTCAAATTATTTCCTGTGTCAAGTTTAACAGGATCAGACGAATTTTTTACAGTGGTGACCGTGTGATCAAACGATTGTGATTGAGGAGAGATATAGTTGTTAATCGTATTTTTTGTAGAAGCTAAAGTATCAGACACTTCAGATTTACTTTCAATATCAAACGCCTCTGTCGATGCATCCTGTTTACAGCCAGCTTCTTCGTCGATCACATGAGAGTTGGTAGTGAGCTTGTTTTCGTCGCTCAGTGCACTCGATTCAATTTCAATCGTTTCAGTTAAATCTTCTTTGAACGATACTCTGGTTTTTACCGTATCGACTGCTTCCTCCAGAATGTCCGTGTTAATCATCTCTTCAAACTCTTGCGCGTAACTCGCCATCTTTTCCGCCCTGGCTACACATGTTTTAAGTTGATCGTGCAATTTTACTAATAGGTCGTCGCTGACATATCGTTCCTGCAATTCCAAAATTTCGGACGCAAACCACTTTAGCTTGTAGTTTGCCTTCGTTTTCGAATGAACAAATTTGCAGTCAAACGGGGTGAAATCAACGTAAGTCAGTTTTTTTTGTACATTGCCTTCATAATCCTTTGAAATAAACGCTTTGATATTAATAGACATCATCAAATGAAGACTGAGCAAAACAGGTTTCGCCTACTTTTTAATTTTTAATTGCACTATATTTTGATAAAATTTAAATATATTCAATCACCAGCTCTGCCGTTAAATATTTACAAAACACCTTCAAAGCTTGAGTGAAAAATGCAACGTATTCTGACTCTTCTCCAAGGTAGCTAGTTTCTTCTTTATGTTTTTGTTTTTCTAGACCTAAAAAAAATTTGTCAACGATAAAGTATACGCGACTGATACTGTTTTTTTTTTGACTGATAAATGAAACAAATTCCCAATCCTCATCATCTAAGTTGTTTTCATCTCCTTTATAATAAACAGCTGAAATCATTTTAAAAACTTCGCGAAACGTGTCGTAGCTATAGATGCCAATCAACGGAGATATTTCCCGTTTGAGTTTTTGTATATTGAAATTATTTAAAAATGAAAATGGCAAAATAAGCAAGCTCATATCGTCGATTACATTTTTTAGATCATAATTATCTTTGTATTTGTTAACGATGAGTAGAGAAAATAATGCTAATCGGTCATTTGGTTTTATTTAATCGCTAATTAATAATAATTTATTTTGCTGTTCAGCTCGTTGAGGCGTAACCAAACTAAACATTTGCTAGAATAACTGAGATATTGAGATTTTAAATTGAAGCTTTGTTTAGGTTTTCTTCAGTCAGTTTGCATCGCAGTATCTTGAATTTTTTTCGCACAGAATTTTAGATCATTTTTTGCTTTACATAACTATTAGTAATTTGCTACAATGAGTTCTACCTTATCGAACTATGACGTACTGACGGTAAGAGAAACTAAAGCTGATCAAAACAACGTGAGTAAAATCCGGGAATTTGCGCAGCTAGACAAACCAGCAAACAAGTTCTCAGTAATATTGAGATTGCTGCCTTTGCGAGATGCAAAAAAATGCAAACTTTTATCGGAGTTGCGCCACCAAAAACAATTATATTATTTGAAAAACCAAAACAAAGTTCACAGAAACGGTTTCTCCAAGCCGTTTGAGCCTTATCAGGCTGTCGCAGACGTCTTTATTATTATCTTTATAACTTTGGACAGTCTAGCAATAAACTTAGTTGCAAAGTCACCTATATACATATACGTTCAAATCGCATACATTATAGTCATCTTGATCACACTTTTATCTATGTTCGAGGTCACGAATGTCGATGCTTCTGACCCTCTTGTGGGCGTAGAAAGAAAGGATGAGTTCAAAAAAATATTAGAAGATGAAGAAAAACAATACTACGCTTTATGTGCGTACTGCGGGCTTGTTAAAAATAATTCCAGACATTGTTCTAAATGCAACAAGTGTGTTGACGGGTTTGATCACCACTGTCGTTGGCTTAACAATTGCATTGGAAAAATCAATTATAAGTGTTTCTTGGCTACACTGGTGTTTGTAATTGTGAAATGTCTTTTGTCGATCGTTTCGTCGTCATACAATATTTCCGGAACGACTATTAAATACATACTGGGCGTTTTGATTGCAGATCTTGTACTGAACCTGATACTGCTGTTTTTGCTGTTTCATTTGTTGATTTTGCACATCTACTTTATCGTACAAGACATAACTACTTACAAGTATATCGCGAATCAAATTGAAAACAAATCCGACGAAGCAAAATCGAGCTGTTGTGTTGATTGGATTGTTGTCGATCGCAAGCGCATAAAAAAAGCGCAACATAACCGGCAGAATACAAATAGCGACATGCTTGTTTAATTTACAATCGCATTTAAACCATTATAATTGAAAATCAATAAAGTTTAAGCAGGACCCAATTAAAAATTTATTTGAAACTCGACCAATCAATTGTTAGAATCGTTTTCTAGTTTTTTAGCGAGACAAGTAATCGCAGTGAGGTATGGAATCGTTACGGTTGCTCCGTCATTCATGACTGCCGTTGGAACACGATAATTTTTCTCTTCTCCAATGATGATGTCCTTTATTTGTTCAGAGTCAATGAAATTATCCGGCAGATATTTTATCAGCTCAAGAATTATGCTGTGCGTTCGTTTGTTTACACTCGAACCTACTTCAAAAGCGTAAAGAATCTCAACTATGCACACCTGTAAGTGGTCGAGATTGTTGAAAACAAAATTTCCAATATTCAGTTTTTGGTCGGGAACATCTAAGCTTTTTTTTTGGTTATTTAACTTCTTTAAAATACCTAGACGGCGATTCGCCACCATTCTAGTCAAACTTTTAATTGCTTGCTTAGCATCTTGTTTTTTGGTAATAACGCTCACATTTATAATATTGTTCTCAACTGTAAATTCAGTAAGATTTTTTATGATTTCTAAATCATTTTCAAATGACACTAAATAGGCGTAAGCAACGTTCGAGTCGGATACAATCGAAACGAAATGCACGTGTTTGCCCCAACTGGCGTTGTCCACTTCTTCGCTTGGCAAGCCTTTTAGTTCGGCCACCCTTTTTGCTAACGAAAGCTTTATTTTTTCGAACTCTAGGTTCTTCAGAGAACAAGTCAGTTTCAGCATCACACCTGCCTCGTGAAACTTAACATAGCCGAAGTCCTCGTGCGCAGACCTCTGCGGTTGAAAAGCGGGAAGAGGTTGGCTGTTCTTTCGGCGAATTCCAGTTGCGCAAGTTTCAATCAAAACGCTTTTTTCACATGCTCGGATTATGTCATCCTTCGAAGCACCCAAAGCTTTGATACGTTTGCATGATAAAATGTATTTGAACGATAGCCAGTTTTCTGGATCGCTCGAAATTTTTTCGTAGAAAAACTTGTCTGAAACCAAATTTTTGTCGCTCAAATAGTACTCCAATTGCTTGAGCAACGCTTGGTCTTTATTTTCAACAATTACGCGAACTTGTTTCGGCGAAGAGGTTTTAGAATTTTTCATAAGTCTCTTTCGGCCCAGCTCAGTTTTTTCTTCTTCGTCTTTCGCAACTTCACTAGTTGCGTCATTTTCTTCTTCATTTTTTTTAGAAATTTCTTCACTAGTGTCTGTTGGAGTTTCGTCTACTGTTTTTGGGGTTTCAGTGTCCTCTACAGTTTCATCTTCTTGTGACTGGCATTTTGAACTCTCGAGACTAATCTCTGACCCATCAGACGTATTTAGTCTTTCAAGCTTTTTAGAATTGCTAGATTCAGTTTTGTTTTCATTTACCTCTGAAGTATCTGTTGAAATAATTTCTTCTTTCTGCTCGTCTAGATTTATCATTTCTACTTTGTTTTATATATTTTGACACCAAATAAAAAAACATTTTTTGCCAAAACTTTTTTTATTATTCTCTTTAAATGCTCGTTCTGACTATATAATAGTGACAAATTATGTATTCTTTAAATAAAAAGTGGACTGAATTTTATGCAGAACTAAATGACTTATTTGTAGAAAAAGAAACAGTTTGTCAACAGCTTATTGTAAGTATTCATTTCAGCTGATCTTTTGATTAGGAACTAAATATACAGCTACGCGAATGTATACTCACGCTATTACAAACTCCAATTGATTATTTAGACCCAAAGAACTTAGAAAAAAACGATAATTTTATTAACTTAGCAGAAATATATGAAAATCGAGAAAAAAGCGCAGCAAACCAGCGAATACAGAAATTAAAAAAAATACCTTTTTCCGATTTGTTGTCTTGGGCGAAGGTTCAAATAGAAAATATCAATCATTTTAATAAATTAACAATTTGAGAAAAATTTATCTTAGTCTTTTTTTATGGGATTCATAATTTTTGGAGGAATACATTGAATTCTACGTAAATATGCAAATCAATGCAAGTAAAAAATAAGAAAAGTTCTAATCGTATGACTTTCGAGCATGATGACTACATTGAGGCTGAGATGACCGCCTTTAAGCGAAATTATCAAAACGCCAATGAAAAAATAAAAAATTTTCTAGCCGAGGAAGAGTCAGAGCCATCTACTAAAAAAACTAGGTCCAACGTGCCTACGTTGAATCTGACGGAAATCGACCCATTTTTGTCAGCGGAAAACCGGAAGAAGTTGTTGGAAAGACGCGAAGCGTTTTACTCTAAACAGTTTGCTTTTGTTGATGAGGTGAATGAAATTTGCGCGTCAATCTTGAGTGATACGGAAAAAAAATTTTTTTTAGTCGAAATCCCCTTAGAGTACCTGACGTATATACGATCTAAAAAAATTTTGTCAAATGAAAAGGAGGCTCTTAAATACTATATCGTGTTTATTGCGATCTGTAAGTTGTTTGCTCACATTGTGCCGTCGTTCAAAATGATAGAACACGACAAAAACAAAGAACAAAATTCAACAGGTAAGAAGCACAAGATCAATTTGCAGGTTCAGTTCGAATCTCACTTGTTGGACGCTTATTCTAGGTTTTTAAACCTGCATTTAAAATTTTTGTACCGCGATTCTATTACGGAGAAAAACAATGATTTTTCAAGCAGAGACTCGCTGTTACAAAATTTGTCTGAGGCGTTTATAGCATTGCTGTTGTCAGGAGTAAATACAAACTACCGTGAAGAGCTCCTCCGAAGCGTGTTCAACTTTTATTATTCTATTGCGCCTCAAGTCGACGAAAATGCTACAATTAATCAGAGTGTACACACCTTTGTCGAAACGACCAAGCAATGCTTACAATATGACATTTCTCTGTCGTTGTCAATTATGCTGGTGCCCATGATTTTGTCCTACGCAAATAAAAATAAACGAAACGTAAACATAAACATAAAGTTGATCGACGGTTTGAAAGCTTTGCAGCTTGACCAAAAGTCAGAGCGAACTGCCCAAGAGCTTAAAGCTCGAAAGTTAAATGTCGTTGAAATTCGTAAAGCCGTACAAAGTAACAATAAGAAGAAAGAGAAAAAAGTCATTAAAGAGGTTTCTGAAGGACTTGTGTTTAGCAACATGAAAATTTTTGAAAGCAGAAAAAAGGACTTGTTGACAAAAATCTTTGTTTTTTGCATAATCAAGCTTCGTCAATATAACAAAATTTTGCCTGAGTTTCTTTTAAGCGTCATAGATGTTCTGAGCAGCTTATTGACACACATAAGCGTCAATATCATAGTGGAACTATTCGATGAACTCAAAAAAGTATGTTTGAACTTGTCTGTAAAAAATCGGTTAGCGCCGCATATTATTTTAAAAATCATATGTCTGTGCTTGTCCGTTCAAGAATACTGCAAATCGAAAAACCAAGATGAAATCGTAGGGAAACATACTTGGATGGTCGAGACTTATCTTCGAAGCACAAAAATCGCTATCGATAAATTTTCGTCAGAAATACAAGCAGCAGGCTTGAATGAGGAATTTGAACAACTCTCAAAGCTGCTGGTAAAAATTATAACTTGCAAAAACTTTATCAATAGACACAACTTAAAAAAACACATACAATCCGGAGAGCCAGAAATTATCAAACTGTTTAAATATTTAGTTGAAGCCTACGAAAATGAAAATCTTCATAAAGAAATTAAAGATCTCGTTTTAACGCTCATTATTGAGCTTATTGCCATATATTCCAAACTTCTCGAGTCGTTCGAAGAAGAAGGTCTGATGATTGACATTTTCACTCCGACTCTCAACTACAGCGATAAAAAAAATTTATACAAACAAATTATGAAGCATAAAGCTCGTTTTAGGTGATTCATATTTTATTTTGCAAAGCGTGAATTTCGAAATTAACGTGTTTCGGGTCATATTATTTTGTTAACCAAAGCTCTAAGCGAAGGATAGGCTGACGAGTTTTTGTTAAGTTGAGTGCCATGCTCTCCAGCTGAGAGAATGTCTTTCGACATTTCGATACATCCAATGAGTGGAAGATTCGTTTCTTTACACAGGTCGAGTATGTTGTCCTCGAGCCCTTGATCGAAAATTGAGTTTACCATGTTGGTTACGATTCCACAAATTTTCAAACCAGTGGCGTAACAAAAGTTGATTTGCTTTTTAACATCCAAAATGCAAACTTTCGGCGGCAGTGTAACTATAATTGCTTGAATGTTATTGATTTTTTGTAAATAACTAACTATTGACAAATGTTCGTCAGAAGTACCGGGCGACGTGTCGATCATTAGATAATCTAAATCACCCCAGTTGACGTCTATCAAAAATTGTTTAATTAACGCTGACTTCTTTGGGCCTCGCCAAATGATTGCTTCATTTTCGTTATTTAGTAAATGGCCAACGGAGATGACCTTTAAATTTTCCGACACTTTGATTGGTTGCCAACCAGAAGCAAGTTTGATGACATCTTTGTCAGCTGTATTTGACATTCTCGGGATGCTAGGTCCGCAAATGTCAATGTCAAGTAAGCCAACCTTGAAACCTCGCTCTGCTAGTTCATAAGCAACTTGCACTGCTATTGAACTTTTCCCAACGCCTCCTTTACCGGACATGGATAAAAACACTTTCTTTACATTTAAGAATTTCTCACTAATTGCGCGAGTCAATTTTTCGTGTAAATCTGCTTTAGACTCCGCGTTTCCACTAGAACATTCAGCTTGATTTGGACATCCTTTGCACTTATCGGACAATCCAGCTTCTTCAGAACCAAGTCCTGGGCATTCGTCATTAAGCTTTTTAGAATAAAACTTCAAAAAATCCCATCTAAACTTGCGTCCTACCAGAACACCAGCAAAAAAAATACCCACACCTATAGATGACAAAACTAATGTGTCACAGCATTTTTTTGAAGTTTGCATAATTATTTGTAACTTTTAAGTGCTTTACTAACAATCAAACAGCGAATCCAAATTTAAAAAATTTTTTTTTTTTTTTCGCCACTAAGTGAACCGCTTTGAGAAGGCTGAATTTTGATTTTGAGAAAATCAGACTTTGAATCCAGATAATCTTTAATTTCGCCCAATAAGTTTCGATCGTCAACGTTAATGTTTTGCGACGTAAGCTTGCTGAACTTGCTAGATAAATAAGACAACACCAGTCTAGATAAAATAAAAGCGTTCATAGATTTTTTTTCAACTTCTTCTTTTAAATAACTTGATCGTGCATAAGTGAGATCAAAAATTTTATGAAAGTCATAGTAAGTGGCATTTAAAAAATCTTCAATGCGATATATCTTTTCATTGCAAAACGTGTAAAGCAATAGATAGTCTGTTTCGCCGGTAAAAAGCTTAATTGTGTCGAAATAAGCGATTAAATTGTAGCTTGATCGTGCCAAGGGCGAAATAGAGCGTGTAAAATGCGTCCAGCCAAGGGTTTTACATAATCTGAAAATATAAATTGAATTGTTCATGATTAACAAAATTATACTTTCAATATCGCCAACAGACATGGATAGTTTTTTAGTCAAAAAATCCACGGACACAAGTTTGCTGAAATATGCTTCAGCTATTAAAGCCATGTATAGACGTTCAAGCTTGATAATGTTTAAATGATTGGTTTCTTCGACTCGTGGAATTTTCGTGCAATCCAAAGTAGTTTTGTCAATAGTTGTCACCAAATCGTTGATATGTAGGCTGTGTTGGAAATCTTCAATGAATGTAAATCCTAAATTGTATAACGCTTGGACATCTCTAGGTTGAATTAGAGTCAATAACCAATATATCTTTGGTATATCGTGTTGATTCAATTTCGAATGAAGTTGAATAAATCGAGAGAACTTTTTGTAGTTTTTGCTGACATTATTTACACCCAGAAAATGTTCAAACAAGATTCTGTTCGCTTCTAAATAACTTGTTGAACGTTCGAACGAACAACAAGCATAAAAAAACGTAATGTTGCTGCTAAATGTCCATTTGCTTTCTTCTAAATCTTTTACCAGCAAATACCCGTCAATAATCGAACTGTCGCTGCAACACTCTCCGAAGAAAGTCGGTACAATTAAATTTTTATGCTCTTCGATCAAACGCATTTCTTTCATTAACTTGACTATAGCTTGACATAACAGGTCATTAGAAGTTTCAACAGTTTCCGAATCAATCATTGACGTAAAGAATTTTTTCGAGTACGCTGCTAGTTCTGACAAAGTCATTTTCTTTTTTATTACAATGGTCTCTAAAATTAACGATAAAGTCTTTTCAAGAGACCTAGAAGATAATTCTAAATTATATTTTGTGTCAGTCAGCAGCTTTGTAGCTCTTTCGAAATCGTTACTCGTTGAAACCAAAACAAAAATTTCACCAAAATCAGAATAGCCCACACGACCAGCTCGTCCTGAAATTTGCTTGTAGTCCAGTAAATTCATCCGACTTTTACCCAAATTTATGCCGTTAATAAATACTCGATGCGCAGGAAGATTCATTCCGGCAGCTAACCCGGTCGTGCAAAACAAACATTTAATAGTCTTGTCTGCATAAAAATCTACAATCAAAATACGTTCATCGTTGGTCATTCCGCTGTGATGAAACGCCACACCATTACAAAAAAGATCACCCAGCATCTGTTTTCTCTCTTTTACACAGTTCAAATTAGCTATCTCATTAAATATTTTTGCAGTCTTCAAAAGTGAAGCATTTGAATTGAACGGAGATGATTTTGAAAACTCTAAAAACTTCAGTGCGAGGAGTTCGCATTCACTACGGCTTCTACAAAAACACAAACAAGACAATTCCTTAAACTTAATCGTATCCATTATTAATTCAAAAAGCTTCACCGTATGTCTGTTAGAGTATTCAGGACTGTATGTGTAGTTTTTAGTTTGAAAAGAAACTATTTGGTTTGAAACGACTTTTTTATGTATGCGATTTCTATAAACTATAAATTCTAATAGCGGAATTGGCCTGTAACTACACTGATAAGTGGCAGCGTTCAACCATTTGGCTACCTCGTTCAAGTTAGGAAATGTTGCACTCATACCTATAATTTGGCAAGACAAGTTAGTTACATCAGGCTGTGTTTTAATCAACATATTTTCAAGCAGTAACCCCCGTTCAGGTGTGAAAAAAATGTGGAACTCATCGATTATGATCGTATAAAAACGATTGTTCTTAGATTTTTTTTTTAAAATGCTCTGAATAATTTTTGTGCCTTGCTCAATAGTGCAAACTGCTAAATCGTAATCGTTATTAAGTGTGTCTTTAGACCCAAAATACAGTTCAACAACCACTTTGTTACTATCATTAAAAATTTTTTTTAAGTCTCTAGCTTTTTGTTTGATAAGAGCTATGTACGGTATCAAATATATTATCCGACCATTTCTTTCTAAATTACGAATAGCGAGCAAATCAGCTACCAGAGTTTTTCCACCTCCTGTCGGAGCAGAATACAAAAAATTTTTGGTCATCATCTGATCAGCCCTTTCTAATGTTTTTAGTGCTTCGATTTGCCATTCATAAAGCACATTGAAACCCTAAAAATTATTTATCAATTAGCTTACCAATCTCTTGGTAATGTCATCCCACCATGGCATACTACATATAAAAATGTAAAGACATCCTTCAACAAAGCAATTAGACTTTCAATATTAATCAAAACAATTTAGCAATAATAATGCTGAAAAATGTAAAACTTACTTTTCTGTTTTGTAATGCTAAAAGAAAAGGCACATAATACAAAAAAAATATTAGCCATATAAACTAATCTAAAGTGTAAAAATGCATGCATATATTTTCGTTATAGATAAGATCAAAAATGAGCCAATTAGATAAATCGCGTCAAAATACATTCATTTCCGAAAACCCGGAATTAGTTGACGCAATAGAAGCTACGTTCAACACGAATTCGTATTCTGTTGAAGAAGGCGGCTTGAATTTAAATTTTAACTCGTTTGAAAAAACAGAAAATCGTGATGCGTATTGTAACTTTGACATTCTTTCAACACCCAAACTATCTCGAACTACAAAAAAAAATTTTTCTCCTCTTCAACACGAACGGCTAAAATTTGAACCTAAAACGCCGTCGATCTTAAAAACTTTTAATGTTGAAATATCGGAAATTGAATTACAGAACTTATTGCAACTTGATCCCGAAGAAATTAAGTCGTATTTTCCCATCACTTTTAAAAATAAAATTATCGAACTGAAGTCGAGAAGCACTAACGACCAAAAGGCGAATGACCCTATTAATGTGGGTATTTTACTATCCGGAGGGCCGGCTCCTGCGGGTCACAACGTTATCACCGGTTTATATGATCTTTTAAAACAGTATAATGACAAATCAAAATTAATTGGATTCAAAAGTGGACTTGACGGTTTGTTAAAAGAAAATTTCATTATAATAAATGACGAAAATATAGAAGGTTTTAGAAATTCTGGAGGATTTGACTTTTTGTGGAGTGGAAGAGCAAAAGTAAACGCGTCGAACAAGCAACAAATCCTTGACACGCTTGAAAAATTCAATCTGTCGGGACTGGTAATTGTCGGTGGAGATGGATCGAATTCAAACGCTGCTATTTTAGCAGAATGGTGCGCTTCGGATCCAATTTGCAAATGCAATATTATCGGGATTCCAAAAACAATTGATGGAGATTTAAAGAATGAAGCTATTGAAATATCATTTGGTTTCGACACAGCTTCTAAAACTTACTCAGAACTAGTTGGAAACCTTTGTACTGACGTAAGATCTGGCCAAGGTGTATGGCATTTCATTCGGATAATGGGTAGAACTGCTAGTCATTTAACTCTTGAAACAGCGTTACAAACACATCCAAACCTTATTTTCATTGGAGAAGAAATTGAAGAAGGCAAGGTTACGTTAAAAGATATTACGTTGACAATTGCCGATCTAATTGAAGAACGGACCAAAATTGGAAAACCATATGGAATTATTTTAATTAGCGAAGGATTAATTGGATTCATAAATGAAGTAAATATTTTGCTTGAAGAACTTACTGTTCTACTTGGAAAATATCTCAAAGTAGATATTGAAAAGCTGTCAGAACCGTCGAAAACGTTATGGCAGTTTTTACCAATTGAAATCCAAGAACAACTATTAGGCGATCGAGAAGCTAGCGGTTATGTACAGGTAGCTAAAATAGCAACGGAAAGACTTTTAATAGAACTTGTTAACAAAGAGCTTATCAAGCGAAAAATCAGTTGGAATTCTACCCATCATTATTTTGGATATGAAGGACGATGTGCTATACCATCAAACTTCGACTGTAACTACTGCTACAGTTTAGGGCATCTGTCACTACATTTAATTTTAAAGAATCTAAACGGTTACCTTGCCTGTATTAAAAATTTACATGACAAGCTAGAAAATTGGAAACCATTGGGGATCCCATTTCCACGCATCATGCATATGATAACAATTCAAGGAAACCGAATTCCAGGAATAATAAGGCACCTTGTCGATACTAAAAGCGAACTTTACCGCTTGTTCAAAACTGCTCGAAAAGTCTGGCGATTGAATGATCTTTATGTATCACCTGGCCCAATACAGTTCAATGGACCCTTGTGTGACGAAACATGTTACTACGTGTCTAATCCAACGTTAGCAGATTTGCTTTGCGATGAATCGGTTCATAATAAAAGCCAAGACCTAGCTTTTGCTAAATCTATGAAATATACATACAGCAAACTACAATCTTTAAGACTCAAATACAAACCTGAGTTACCTAGAATATTGCAAGAACCTAATTTGGCTTTTCTAAAGTCTACGCAATACACGATCAAAGACAGTTATATACGGAAAATGGTCTTCAAACACTATGCAAATTTGTGCATAGAAAACAAATTCTACTTATACGAGCTCAATAAAAAAGAGGAAAAAATTCACAGGTCAGACTTCCGCGTCGGAATTGTTATATTATCCAGGCAATCTCCTGGAATTCACAATATAATATGGGGCGCGTTTGATTACATAATGAAAAAGAAAGGTACTTTGTATGGTTTTAAGTTTGGATCTCACGGCTTGCTTAATAATGACTACACAATATTGAATGAAAACATTATTAAAAAATTCCGAAATTTAGGAGGAGCTGATTTAATTGGTCGAACTAACGAACATATTATTTTTCAAGATATGTTCACGGAAAAAATATGCTCAAACCTTAAAAAACTCGAGCTATCAGGGTTAATCATTGTAGGATCCTCGTTGGCGATGACTGAAGCTGCTTACTTAGCTGAACAATTGAGCTCAATCAAAGCCAGATGTTCAATTGTAGGGATTGCGGCAACAGCTAGCAATAATATAACACACGAACTTCTTGAATGCAATATAGGTTTCAATACGGCTTCCAAGCTTTATGCCTCGTTAATAGGAAATGTTTTAGCAGATGCTGCTTCGATGCCTAAATACTGGCATTTTGTCAGACTCATGGGAAAGCGTCCAAGTAATGAGGTTTTAGAATGTGCACTTCAAACAAAACCCAATTTTGTGGTTATTTCTGAAGAATATGGTTCCAGCCAAAAAACAATTAACGACGTTGTTCAAGACATCGCCGACACTATTTGTGTCAGATCTAATCCAACAAATGAGTCTGAGTCTCCAAGAAATTTCGGAACAATTTTAATTCCAGACGGTTTGTGGTATCATTTGCCGACAATGAAGTTGCTCATGGAGGAAATAGACAATATCTGTTTGAATCCAGAGTCATCATCTAATTTAAAATCTGAATTCGGCTCAGTGAACGTTTCAAGCATTGAAAACCGACTTTCTTCGTACAGCAGAGCTATTTGGAATTCTCTGCCTGATTATTTCAGATCCTCGCTTCTTGTAAGAGATCCAGAATTACGAGAATCGTTTGTGGAAACCGATGTTTTGCTTTCTGAGATGGTAAAACACGAGTTGAACAAACGAGCTAAACTAGGAAAATACACGGGAACTTTTCAATGTATATGTCACTACTTCGGTTATCAAGGCCGCTCAGCTATGCCCACAAATTTTGACTGTTCGCTCGCATATACCAACGGGTATGCCGCGTCTATCGCCGTTGAAAATTCGTTAAACGGATATTTGATTTCGGTTCGAGGCTTATGCGGGCCGATTTCTGACTGGAACATCGGTGCTATTCCGTTCAATTCTATACTGCGCGTATCGAGCACACAGCAACCCTTAAACTTTTTGTCGGACAGCTACAACTCTAAAGACAACTATGAGAAACCCATTGTAAACAACGCTGAAATCCCGCTAGATAGTAAAGCCCTACGCAAACTAAAGCTCAATCGTCGCAAATGGATCAATATCGATCATTATCAAAACCCAGGACCCATTCAATTTTGGGGAAAACTCAACTTACAAATTCACAGAGTTCTTTTTGAAGAGCAAAAAGACTACTATTTCATGTTAAAAGACGTTTACAAATTTACTAATCTATTAAGGAAATCTACCGACTTCGGGGTAGACGAAGCATTTTTAAAATATGCTTACACGAGTTTGTACAGTCTGCTTTCTTTGCGGTATCATGAAAACGACTTAACCAAACACATAAACTCGAAGAAGTTTTTTGAATCTATCGAAGACACAGCATACAGCAAAGAATTTGACGCCAATTAGCTATTTCTTCGTCTTTATCAAAATATTTTTAATCGGAATCCGTATCCATTTATACACTACAAGTTTGTTTAACGATATGAAGAAACACTTCACTTGCCAAACGATCTTTTGGTTTATAGTTGTACGCGATGTCAAAAACCATGACTTTCCCAGTGTATAAAGAATAAATAAAAGCTTCAAACTTTCCAATGCAAATTTGCTTACGTAAATCACGCAGCGTTTTATTATAATTTTTATGTTATCACTCCACAAGTACACTTGTACGGTACTTTGTAAATCAACATCTCGAAGCAAAAATCTGAAATATTCAGATTCGAGACACAATGTTTTAGTGCACAATATAGTTTTCAATGTTTGGCTTTTAAGTCGGCAGCCAAAAAAGCGGTCAGCCGCTCCGACGGCAATTAACTTTGCTAGAACGTCTTGTTCATCCGCGCAATTATGAGCTGCTAAATACAGCAAGTATGTTTTGTTATACTTCGACGAAAAATTTAAACTCATGCCAAACTTTAGTACTTTCATGCTCGTCGAAAAAATAATCTTATTTTCCATAGCGGTGAAGTAGACCAAATTCAAAGTTTTAGCTACCATTATTCTTATCTCAAGCTTGACAGGGGAAAAGAAATCATCATAAGCTTGAAGTCTTTCATCCTGTTTTGTATCTAAATACTCTAAGCTAACCTCCTGTAAAATTAATTTGTTTAAACTTTCCTGGTACCAATGTTCAACCAGTTTCTCATATGTAAGTTCACGCAAACTTTTATCATCCACATCTACGTATTTTTTCGTATTTTTTTTCAAATGCATTTCACAAGGCGGGAGGCAGTGTTTTCTCTCGTTCAACTTTGAATAGAACTTCACATATAAATTTAACGAATTTATAAAACCTCTGTAAACTGAATTGAATTGTTGGAGTTCAGCAAACATGGCTAAGTTCGATTTTATTTGTTTACTACCACTCGCCGATACAAAGAAAATTGTGTCGAAATTGACACAAGGGAACGAGACACTTTCTATGTTTATCACGCTATCTTCCAATGTTAATAGGTAACTCTTTTTTTCAAATAGCAGCAGAATTACATAATAAGGCTTCAATGTAATCGAACTAAACTTTAGATGGAAGACTTCTTCAAACTCTTTAAGATCTGTTGTGTGTTTTCTGTATGTTGTGAAAAGTTTTTGAGCCATTTTTTGATGTTGTAACGCACATTGACTAACGTTGTTTAAGGTCAAAGAAATATCAGATTTGTTCTCTGGAGCTTTTTGTATTAGAAAAGAAATCGAATGTAATCGTTTTGCAAGCGTCTGAACAAACCTATCCTTATAAACAATTGTTTCTGTTTCATATGGCTGAATTTCAAACGAAGGCAAATCTTTATTTCGTGTTTTTTTTGTTTTTTCATTTTTACTCGCCACCATCATGAATACTTTCAAGAGAAAACTGGAGTTATTCTGAATAAAAACTTGATTATCGCTAAATGAATCCTCTAAACAAATAAAACTACATCCCTCCAATATGGAATTAATTTTAATTTCAAGCGACAAAAACATGCCATAGTTTTTGTCCACGATCTGTTTTTTCATTATCGATGTCAAGGCAACAGGCGTTTTAGCAAAGTTAAAATCTAGATAAAAACTGGTTGTTAGCTCGAAAAGCATATTGCTAAAGAATTTTGCGTTTTTTTTTACACCATAAACGTATTTAAACTCTGGTATTTCACTCAACTGGTCATAATGATTATTATGATTTGATACACTTTGCTCACCGAATGTCTGTAACCGATTGTCTGAGTTTGAATTCTTAATGTAATAACCAAATAAGCTTAACGATTCAGACTTTTCAACTGGTATGCACCGTTCGCCAAGCCTCAGACTGATAGAATGTTTGCTCAAATTGTTAAAAATAAAACTAGAAACTATCAAGTAGGTGTTATTTACACGGATTAATGAAACAGGGCCGCTAATCGGAAAAATATGATACCCGATCAACTCACTTTTACATTGCCAATTAATTTGAAACCTGGCAGATTCTTGTTTTAATCTGAGCTCGAAAAAGACCTTCTTAGCCGTTTCTATATAATAAGTGTTGTCAAAATTTGCTGGCACTACGTATTTTGTTAAATCGTCGTTTATTTGCCATATTTCACAAGGCTCATTTAGAACTACTTTTAAATTTGTAATGCGTTTTATAGAAATGTTTATTAGCGTAGCGGATGCAGAACAATTGATCAGACTATGTCGTAACAAGTTTTGTATTTGTTTGTGTTGCAAAGTAAAATTGCATATGACTCCTTGGTCAAATTTCAAAGCATCACATATTTTAAATTTATTATTATCGACCTTTGCTACAACTAATTCTGTTTGGTTCGATTCAAGAGTAATGTAATTTTCGTAGAATCTGTATTTAGCATTAATTTTTATTGCTTCACTACTATCTAAAATTTTTGCAAGCACTATTCTTATACTTTTAGTAGTCTTTAAGTAGCTATAACAGAAATTATTCATAAAGTTTACTTTTTCTTCAACTACTTGCTTCAATACTATTTTTACGTTTTTCTCATTTACTACAATTGTAAGCTCCAGTGGCAAATTCATATTGATCTTAGAAGGTGAATAAAAGACACATTCGCTTATTTTAAGTAAGTCTATTTTTTCGCAAGCAGTGATGCTGACTATTTCAATACCGAATGAGTATATGATCAAACATGCTTCTAGTCGGCAAACCTTGTCATTGTACAAATTTAACTTTAATAAATCAGTTTCGCTTTTACAATATATGTCAAACCAGGCTTGTTTAACAATACAATAATTTTTCTTGATGTCATAAAACTCTCGAATAATTTTTTTAAACTTCTCTTTTTTGAAATGCCTGCTTAAAAACACTCGCATCTCTTGTATGGAAATACCATAAAGTGTAGATGATCTGTGCACAAAAATCATCATTTTTCCATTGCAAGTGAGTATAAAACACGGGTTCAACGTTACTAAACAAGTGCTAAATAAATTAATAGATTTCTGGGTAAACGTGAAATTTTGGTTTGAACGCTCTGAAAATATAAGTACTACGTCGTTTGAAGTATTGTTAATTAATAACAGCATTCTACTTGTCGTTAAATAAGAGTGAAACTCGTTTGGCGTGACAATAGATTTTAACGTAAACGGATTTTTCGCAAGACGATCACTCAAATTTAAGAAAAGGTCTTGCGGAAAATTCACAGTCGTAATTTTGTTTGTTTTAATCATCATTTTTGTGCTAGAATTTTCGAATTCTGCAACTATTTCGAAATTCGTTAACTTGATTAACTCAGTGTTATTGAACGATAACTTTAAATTGCTTTTTATTTTTATCTGCTTATTAATGAAGTAAGCAATCGAAGTTTTGAAAGCATTTAAACTTCGCAACGAATTCAGGCGTAATTCTGCATCATCCCACTCGTTTAGTGATTGACACTTCAAGCCATTTTTTTCGTTAAACGAAAAGTTTATGTTTGTATTAAACCAGAGTTTGAAAAAAACTATTTCTTCTAGCGTTATGCAAACATTCTTAAAAGTTATTTCTCCACTAACAACGTATGTTTTTACTTTATCTATTAAACCCAAAATCAGATTGTTTTCAAGAGCGTATGTTTGTTGAATCTGATCGAGAATCAATTTTTTCCCACTCAGCTCAGTTATATAGTCAAGTGATTTTTTATGATCTTTTGCCAAAAACAATTTTTTTAGTTTACTTGTTTCAACTAACGTCGAAAGATAGGAACTAATTAAATCGTGCCTTAGTTTGACCAAAACATTTTCAAAACAGCAATTGACTTTATAATAATTTTTTTTGAGTTCTAAATTAGCATCGGAAGACGAATTATTGATGTTTATATGGAAAACCAAAAAACTTGATAATCTAACATTAGCCTCTACGTCAAATAATTTTTTCACTAGTTGATAGATCATGTCTTCGTTTTTATTTGATTTTTTGATTAGATACGTCTGCTTTATTAGACAGTTTACAACGTTAAATGGGTTAACTTCATTTTCGACGTTAATGTTAGGGGCAAGGCTCAATTTAAACCGCTGTATGCTTAGTTGAAATGTTCTCGCAAAGCAAAAGAAGGCAGTGTTTTCCTCCATGATTTGTGATCTGGTGCTGTCATGATTATCGTTTTTTCTGGTCATTAAATCCTGGTCAAGTTCTATCAATTCATAAATCAATTCGTCGCATTCATGGGCCAAAAAGTTGCTCAATCCATTGTAGATATGATGTTTGCTATAAATTTTGTAAAAGTTTATGTAGTCAAATGAGTAAATCTGTAAAACATTGTTACTATTAAATTTACCAATATTTATCATCTCACATTCTTTTCGGAAAGTAGCAGAAACTTTCATTGATTTTCTGTTTAATTTTTTCTGCGAAAGTAACTTAGTCAAAACCTCGTGTTTGCTTTTAGCAAAGGTTAATTTCTTATAACTAATCTCAGTGGCCTTCTGAAAATACTGGTTGTATATAGAAGCTAAATAGTTAATTGTAAAAGAAACATAAACATTTATTTTCATCAATTGTAACAAAAACAGAGGCGATAGTTCAAAAACGAAGTTTTGAATCTTAAGATTAGAAATAGCTTTTTTTGAAACATTACCAAAATTCTCGATCATTAAATCACTGCTCAAACTGACTGTTTTAAAAAAAACCAAATTGAAAAACAATTCATTTTCATTCAGTTTTGATACAACTTTACTAGTCGTAATGCCATTATAAATTTCACAGTCTAATTCCTTTAACATGTATACAAAGTCAGCATTGGAGTCGTTAATAAACATTTCTTTAAGTGCAATTTTTATGCCAGCGTTTCTCTCTGTTTGTAAGTCTAGTTGTAGTTCATCTATATAAAGCGAAATATGATAAGTAATCGCTTTTTGTTTTGTTTGGTTCACAACTATTGATATTTCTTTTTTTTTTTTAGGGAAATCAATGAAAAGTTTTCTCAAATGATCTATCAATAAAGAGTCAA